TCTCCCCCTCCCCAAGGGCGTTCCCCATCCCAAAATCCCAATTTTTTTTCCCGGAATTCCCAGGATTACCACAAAATCATCAAGCAGCCGATGGATATGGGAACCATCAAACGCAGGCTGGAGAACAATTATTACTGGGGGGCGGCCGAGTGCATGCAGGACTTCAACACCATGTTCACCAACTGCTACATCTACAACAAGGTACCCAAAAACACCCCAAAAACACCCACAAAACACCCCCAAAACACCCCAAAAACACCCCAAAATTTATCAAAAATTAGCACAAAAATCGGTGTAAAAATGATCAAAAATTGGTATAAAACTGCCCAAAAATTGGTGCAAAAATGACCAAAAATTGGTATAAAAATGCCCAAAAATTGATATAAAAATGATCAAAAATTGGTGTAAAAATGACCAAAAATTGGTGTAAAAATGACCAAAAATCGGTATAAAAATGATCTAAAATCCATATGAAATGGTGTAAAAATGAGCAAAAATTGGTATAAAAATGACAAAAAGTGGCACAAAAATGACACAAAAATCTGGGGGGCGGCCAAGTGCATGCAGGACTTCAACACCATGTTCACCAACTGCTACATCTACAACAAGGTACCCAAAAACACCCCAAAAACACCCACAAAACACCCCCAAAACACCCCAAAAAATGCCCAAAAATTGATATAAAAATGATCAAAAATTGGTATAAAAATGATCAAAAATTGGTGTAAAAATGACCAAAAATTGGTATAAAAATGCCCAAAAATTGATATAAAAATGATCAAAAATTGGTATAAAAATGACCAAAAATTGAAAAAAAAATGCCCAAATATTGGTAGAAAACCGACCAAAAATTGGTATAAAAATGATCGAAAGTTGGTATAAAATGGATCAAAAATTGGTATAAAAATGCCCAAGAAGTGGCACAAAAATGACACAAAAATGCCCCAAAAATCTGGGGGGCGGCCGAGTGCATGCAGGACTTCAACACCATGTTCACCAACTGCTACATCTACAACAAGGTACCCAAAACACCCCAAAAACAACCCAAAAAACACCCCCAAAACACCCCAAAAACACCCCAAAATTTATCAAAAATTAGCACAAAAATCGGTGCAAAAATGATCAAAAATTGGTGTAAAAATGCCCAAAAATTGGTGTAAAAATGACCAAAAATTGGTGCAAAAATGATCAAAAATTGGTATAAAAATGACCAAAAATTGGTATAAAAATGCCCAAAAATTGATATAAAAATGATCAAAAATTGGTATAAAAATGACCAAAAATTGGTATAAAAATGACCAAAAATTGGTATCAAAATGATCAAAAGTTGGTATAAAATTGATTAAAAATTGGTGCAAAAATGCCCAAAAATTCGTATAAAACCGACCAAAAATTGGTGTAAAAATGACCAAAAATCGGTATAAAAATGATCTAAAATCCATATAAAATTGATCAAAAATTGGTATAAAAATGACCAAAAATTGGTGCAAAAATGCCCAAAAAGTGGCACAAAAATGACACAAAAATCTGGGGGGCGGCCAAGTGCATGCAGGACTTCAACACCATGTTCACCAACTGCTACATCTACAACAAGGTACCCAAAACACCCCAAAAACATCCCAAAAACACCCCCAAAACACCCCAAAAACAACCCAAAATTTATCAAAAATTAGCACAAAAATCGGTGCAAAAATGATCAAAAATTGGTATAAAAATGATCAAAAAATGGTGTAAAAATGATCAAAAAATGGTGTAAAAATGATCAAAAATTGGTGTAAAAATGCCCAAAAATTGGTGTAAAAATGATCAAAAATTGGTATAAAAATGATCAAAAAATGGTGTAAAAATGCCCAAAAATTGGTATAAAACTGACCAAAAATTGGTATAAAAATGATCAAAAGTTAGAATAAAAATGACCAAAAATTGGAATAAAAATGATCAAAAAAAATCCCCAAAAATTTTTTAAAAAATGCAGAAAAATTCCCGCAAAAAAATAAAAAAAATCCAAAAAATTTCTTTTAAAAATCAAAAAAAATCCAAAAAAAAATCCAAAAAAATTTAAAAAAAATCCAAAAAAATTTAAAAAAAAATCCCAAAAAATTTCAAAAAAAATCCCCAAAAAATTTCAAAAAAAATCCAAAAAAATCCCCAAAAAATTTCAAAAAAAATCCAAAAAAATCCCCAAAAAATCCAAAAAAATTTCAAAAAAAATCCAAAAAAATCCCCAAAAAATTAAAAAAAAATTTCAAATAAATCCCCAAAAAATTCCAAAAAAAATCCCCCCAAAAGTTCCAAAAAATCCAAAAAAAATTTCAAAAAAAATCCCCCAAGTGTGCCAAAAAATAAAAAAAAAAATTTCAAAAAAAGTCTAAAAAGATTTCAAAAAAAATTGAAAAAAATTTCAAAAAATCCAAAAAAATTTCCAAAAAAAATCCAAAAAAATTTCCAAAAAATTCCAAAAAATTCCAAAAAATCCCAAAAAAATTCCAAAAAAATCCAAAAAAATTTCCAAAAAATCCAAAAAAATTTAAAAAAAAAAAATCTAAAAAAATCCCCAAAAAATTTCCAAAAAAACCCAAAAAAATTTCCAAAAAATCCAAAAAAATTTCAAAAAAAATCTCAAAAAAATTCCAAAAAATCCCGAAAAAATCCCAAAAAAACCCCAAAAAACCCCCAAAAAAATCCCAAAAAAATTTCCAAAAAATCCCCAAAATTCCCTGAAACTCCCGCGTTCCCCCTCTGGAATTTCCCCAGCCCTGATCCCGTTTTTTCCCCGCTCAGCCCACGGATGACATCGTGCTGATGGCGCAGACGCTGGAGAAGCTGTTCCTGCAGAAGGTGGCGCAGATGCCCCCGGAGGAGCAGGAGCTGCTGCTGCCCCTGGCCAAGAACAGCCACAAGAAAGGGGCGGCGCGAGCGGCAGGTACCGGAATTCCCGGATTTGGGATCCCATTCCTGGGATTTGGGATCGAATTCCCAGGATTTGGGATGGGATTCCCGGGATTTGGGGTCCAAATCCTGGGATTTGGGATGGGATTCCTGGGATTTGGGATCGAATTCCCGGGATTTGGGATGGGATTCCTGGGATTTGGGATGGGATTCCTGGGATTTGGGATGGGATTCTGGGATTTGGGATGGGATTCCTGGGATTTGGGATTGAATTCCTGGGATTTGGGATCCAAATCATGGGATTTGGGATCCCATTCCCGGGATTTGGGATCAAAACATGGGATTTGGGATGGGATTCCTGGGATTTGGGATGGGATTCTGGGATTTGGGATGGGATTCTGGGATTTGGGATGGGATTCCCAGGATTTGGGATGGGATTCTGGGATTTCGGATCCAATTCCTGGGATTTGGGATCAAATTCCTGGGATTTGGGATGGGATTTGTGGGATTTGGGATGGGATTCCTGGGATTTGGGATCCAAATCATGGGATTCTGGGATGGGATTCTGGGACTTGGGATCCGATTCTGGGATTTGGGATCGAATTCCTGGGATTTGGGTTCGAATTCCCAGGATTTCGGATCAAATCCTGGGATTTAGGATCCAAATCCTGGGATTTGGGATGGGATTCTGGGATTTGGGATCCCATTCCCGGGATTTGGGATCGAATTCCTGGGATTTGGGATGGGATTCTGGGATTTCGGATCGAATTCCTGGGATTTGGGATCTCATTCCCAGGATTTCGGATCAAATCCTGGTATTTGGGATCCAAATCCTGGGATTTGGGATGGGATTTGTGGGATTTGGGATGGGATTCCTGGGATTTGGGATCCAAATCATGGGATTTGGGATGGGATTCTGGGATTTGGGATGGGATTCCCGGGATTTGGGATGGGATTCTGGGATTTGGGATGGGATTCTGGGATTTGGGATCGAATTCCTGGGATTTGGGATGGGATTCTGGGATTTGGGATGGGATTCTGGGATTTGGGATGGGATTCCCGGGATTTGGATAGAATTCCCGGGACTTGGGTTCCCATTCCCGGCATTTGGGATGGGATTCTGGGATTTGGGATGGGATTCCCGGGATTTGGGATGGGATTCTGGGATTTGGGATCGAATTGCCAGGATTTAGGATGGGATTCCGGGATTTGGGATGGGATTCTGGGATTTGGGATCAAAATATGGGATTTGGGATGGGATTCTGGGATTTGGGATCCAAATCATGGGATTTGGGATGGGATTTGTGGGATTTGGGATCCAATTCCTGGGATTTGGGATCCCATTCCCGGGATTTGGGATCAAAACATGGGATTTGGGATGGGATTCCTGGGATTTGGGATCCAATTCCTGGGATTTGGGATCCAAATCCTGGGATTTGGGATGGGATTCTCGGATTTGGGATGGGATTCTGGGATTTGGGATCGAATTCCTGGGATTTGGGATCCCATTCCCGGGATTTGGGATGGGATTCTGGGATTTGGGATGGGATTCCTGGGATTTGGGATGGGATTCCTGGGATTTGGGATCCGATTCCCGGGATTTGGGATGGGATTCTGGGATTTGGTATCCGCCAGGATTTAGGATGGGATTCCGGGATTTGGGATGGGATTCTTGGGATTTGGGATGGGATTCTGGGATTTGGGATCCAAATCCTGGGATTTGGAATGGGATTCTGGGATTTGGGATGGGATTTGTGGGATTTGGGATCCCATTCCCCGGATTTGGGATCGAATTCCCAGGATTTCGGATCAAATCCCGGGATTTGGGATGGGATTCTGGGATTTGGGATGGGATTCCTGGGATTTGGGATCGAATTCCTGGGATTTGGGATGGGATTCTGGGATTTGGGATGGGATTCTGGGATTTGGGATGGGATTTGTGGGATTTTGGATCAAATCCTGGGATTTCGGATCAAATCCTGGGATTTGGGATTGAATTCCTGGGAATTCCGGGATTTGGGATCTGATTCCCGGGATTTGGGATGGGATTCCTGGGATTTCAGATCAAATTCTGGGATTTGGGATCGAATTCCTGGGATTTGGGATCGAATTCCTGGGATTCGGGATCCCATTCCCGGGATTTGGGATCGAATTCCCAGGATTTGGGATGGGATTCTGGGATTTGGGATCCAATTCCCGGGATTTGGGATGGGATTCTGGGATTTGGGATGGGATTCTGGGATTTTTACATCCCCAAATCCGTTTTTCCGGGTTTTTTGTGTCTCCCAATTCCCTTTTTCCACGTTTTTTTTACTCCCCACTCCCCATCCCAGGGATTTTTGGGATTTTCCTGCCTATCCCAAGGAATTTTTCCGTCTTTTCCGGGTTTTTTGTGTCTCCTAATCCCATTTCCCAGGTTTTTTGTGTCTCCCAATCCCATTTTCCAGAATTTTTGTGTCTCCCAATCCCATTTTCCGGGTTTTTTGTGTCTCCCAATCCCATTTTCCGGGTTTTCCATTGCTCACAATCCAGTTTTCCGGGTTTTTTGTGTCTCCCAATCCCTTCTTTCCAGGTTTTTTTTACTCCCCACTCCCCATCCCTGGAATTTTTGGGATTTTCCTGCCCATCCCAAGGAATTTTTCCGTCTTTTCCGTCTTTTCCCAGCTCTCCTGGCGGGGCTGGCGGGCGGAGCCCAGCAGGTCCCGGCCGTCTCCTCCCTTTCCCTTGGCATTCCCAATCCCAATTTCCCTGGAATTTTGTGTCCCCAAATCCCATTTTCCGGGTTTTTTGTGTCTCCAAATCCCATTTTCCAGGATTTTTGTGTCTCCCAATCCTCATTTTCCAGGATTTTTGTGTCTCCCAATCCTCATTTTCCAGGATTTTTGTGTTTTTTAGGAATCCTGAACCCGTTTTTCCAGGTTTTCTGTGTCTCCCAATCCCATTTCCAGCTCTTGAATCCTGAATCCATTTTTCCAGGTTTTCTGTGTCTCCAAATCCCATTTTCCAGGTTTTTCATGTTTCCCAATCCCATTTTCCAGGTTTTTCGAGTCCCCAGATCCGTTTTTCCAGGTTTTCTGTGTCCCCCAATCAATTTTCCCAGGATTTTTGCATTTCCACATCCCATTTTCCACGTTTTTTGTGTCTCCAAATCCGTTTTTCCAGGGTTTTTGTGTCTTCCAAATCCATTTTCCAAGTTTTTTGCATCTCCATGTTCCATTTTCCAGAATTTTCGTGTCTCCCAATCCCATTTTTCCAGGATTTTCGTATTTCCTGATTCTCTTTTCCAGATTTTTTATGTTCCCCAATCCCATTTTCCAGATTTTTGGATTTCCACATTCCATTTTCCAGGTTTTTTGTGTCTCCCAATCCCATTTTCCGGGTTTTTCGTGTCTCCCAATCCCATTTTCCGGGTTTTCCATTGCTCACAATCCAGTTTTCCGGGTTTTTTGTGTCTCCCAATCCCATTTTCCAGGATTTTTGTGTCTCCCAATCCCATTTTCCGGGTTTTTTGTGTCTCCCAATCCCATTTTCCGGGTTTTCCATTGCCCTCAATCCAGTTTTCCGGGTTTTTTGTGTCTCCCAATCCCTTCTTTCCAGGTTTTTTTTATTCTTTATTCCACATCTTTGGTATTTTGGGGATTTTCCTGCCTATCCCAAGGAATTTTTCCGTGTTTTCCGTGTTTTCCCAGCTCTCCTGGCGGGGCTGGCGGGCGGAGCCCAGCAGGTCCCGGCCGTCTCCTCCCTTTCCCTTGGCGTCCCCAATCCCAATTTCCCTGGAATTTTATGTCCCCAAATCCCATTTTCCAGAGTTTTTGTGTCCCCAAATCCCATTTTCCAGGATTTTTGTGTCTCCCAATCGCCTTTTCCGGGTTTTTTGTGTCTCCAAATTCCATTTTCCGGGTTTTTTGTGTCTCCAAATCCCATTTTCCAGGATTTTTGTGTCTCCCAATCGCCTTTTCCAGGTTTTTTGTGTCCCCAAATTCCGTTTTCCGGGTTTTTTGTGTCTCCCAAACCTCATTTTCCAGAATTTTTGTGTTTTTTAGGAATCCTGAACCCGTTTTTCCAGGTTTTCTGTGTCTCCCAATCCCATTTCCAGCTCTTGAATCCTGAATCCGTTTTTCCAGGTTTTCTGTGTTTCCAAATCCAAT